CTTGTCCCATGCATCTCTTCCATGTGGCTATTCCTTAGTTGTATCGTTTATAATAGATCAGTAATAAAAAGTAAAGTGTGCCCCTGGCCTCTTTGAGACATTCCAGCAAATTACAGAACATGAAGAGAGGGACACGAGGACCTCTGATTTATAACTAGTTGGCCAGAAGGACAGGTGACATGAGACTTGGGGCTGGCACGTAAAGTGCGTGCGGATGCAGTCTGGTGGGTGGGACCCCGGGGGCCTGCACCCTCCAGGCAGCCAGTGTCAGAACCGGGTTAAACGGCGGACACCTAGTCTGTATATCCCACAAATTGAACTATTTCATGCGGAAGGAGCCAGACATCTGGGGCCAGCAGCTCTGTGCATGGAGAGAAGCTGGGGATTTTACTCTTCGTGAGGATGTGATGTGTCCTGAGCAGAACTCATGACTTCTTGTTCCCAAATGTGTTTCTTTCCCATACCCCCGATGGCAGAGCATGGCACTGCCATCGGTCCAGTGCCTCAGGTGAAGAACTCTGAGTCATCTTTTCTGGACTCTCCATCTCAAACCTGTCATCTAATCTGTTAGCAAATGCTGCCAATGCCAGCTCAGCTCAACCTTCAAGATACACCCTGAACGTCGTGGTGACTTGTCACATCCAGAGCTTTTCCAAACTGCCATCTTCCCCTGGCTTCCTACAGTTTGCTGTTTTTTTTTTAAATTTTTATTTAAATTCAATTTGCCAACATATAACACCCAGTGCTCATCCCATCAACTGCCCGTCACCCAGTTACCCCATCCCCCCAACCCCCCTCGGATTGTTTTCTATTGTTAAGAGTCTCTTATGGTTTGCCTCCCTCTCTGTTTTTATCCTATTTTATTTTTCCTTCCCTTCCCCTATGTTCATCTGCTTTGTTCCTTAAATTCCACATGAATGAAATCATATAATGTCTGTCTTTCTCTGATTGACTTATTTCACTTTGCATAATACACTCTGGTTCCATCCACGTCAGTGCAAATGGCAGGATTTCATTCTTTTTGATGGCTGAGTAATATTCCACTGCATACACACGCCACATCTTCTCTATCCATTCATCTGTCTATAGACATCTGGGCTCTCTCCATATTTTGTCTATTGTGGACATTGCTGCTATAAACCCTGGGGGTGCATGTGCCCCTTCAAATCACTATTTTTCTGTCCTCTGGATAAATTGTCCTGTGTAGAGTACTTCTACTTTTAACTTTTTGAGGAAGCTCCATACTGTTTTCCAGACCATTTTTGTCTCTGTTGTTGTTGTTGCAGTCGGTTTGATTGGGTCATATCCAGGATGTCAAGGAAACCTGATCTAAACCTGATCTAACCTGCCTATGTAGGTATGTGCCTAATCAAGAATAGAAACTACACAGTAGGTTAAGTTTAATATAAAGAATGAATGAGCTTTGATAAAAGAATGACCATAAGAAAACAATATATGGTATTTTAGGGCTGACGGAGAGTATCCAAAGGAGAGGCCTCAAAGCCAACCCCCCCGCCCTGCCACTCCCACCAAGGCTGGGGTTCAGATCTTATTTGAGAAGGTATAGTCCAACTCACTGGATAGCAGAGAATTTTGTTGGTTTGTCCTGGACACAGCTGTTCCTCTGTCCCTCTGGTGTACAGCTGAGCAGGAACCAGTAGGGTGGGCTTGCAGAGAGACTGGAGTCTGGGGCCCAGGGGAGTGCGCTATGATCTGCAGAGAATGCTGGCAGGTGTAGACTTTGCTGTCGGCTGCAAAGTCTATGGTGGCTCAGGGCACTGGAATGAGCAGGGGGCCTCAGGGTCAGTTTTCATGTGGAGAGGTCTGTCCCGCCAGACACAGGCTGCAAGGTTGCTGACAGTGGCAGAATGTGGTGGTGGAAACGCTCACCCCAACAGTTCTCTCCTCAGTGTCTCTCCAGCACCCTCTGCTGGGAAAACTTAGGATGATGCTCTCGGAGGAGATGCTTAAAAGAGCTCTGTCCTTTATTACAGAGCACATGTTGAAGGGTGAACTGGAGCTGAGAGGTCATACATTGATAACTGGCACAGGGTTTACCCAAGTATATATGTACTTATCGAGGATAAATGTGGTTGGGGGATTGTGTATGAATCCTCTGGCAAAAAGAATCCACATCAAGATAATAATCAGTAATGGAAAATAAATATAATTAAATCACATCTTTAAAGACATATTATCTATTTATTTTTGAGGGAGACAGTGAGAACGAGCAGGGGGAGGGGCAGAGAGAGAGAGAGAGAGACAAGCAGACTCCCCACCGAGCAGGGTACCTGACTCCGGGGCTCCATCCCAGGACCCTGAGGTCATGACCTGAGCTCAAATCAGACACTTAACTGAGTCACCCAGGTGCCCTTAAATCACATTTTTAAAGTGGTGGGCAATATAAGTATTCAGGTATCTTATTTTTTCTATATTTATTTTAGGATTTTTTAAAGAATTGAGGTGGAAATTGCACAAATCATAAATGTCTATATTTTTTGTTTGTTTTTGTTTGTGTGTACACACAAATGAAACTACTACACAGATCAAGATACAATTTTTCCACCACTTTGGTGGATACCTCATTCCTCTTCCCAGTTAAAATCCTCCGACCCATCAGAGGCAGCATTCATCTGGCTTTTTTTTTTTTTAAGATTTTATTTTTATTTATTCATGACACACACACACACACACACACACAGAGAGAGAGAGAGAGAGAGGCAGAGACAAAGGCAGAGGGAGAAGCAGGCTCCATGCAGGGAACCCGATGCAGGACTCGATCCCGGGACTCCAGGATCACGTCCTGGGCCAAAGGCAGGCACTAAACTGCTGAGCCACCCAGGGATCCCCCTCATCTGGCTTTTAGTTCTTGTTCAGGAACTTTATGAAATTGGAACCAGAAGTAAGTACTTTGTTGTGTCTGGCTTCTTTTGGTTAGTACGATGTCTTTGAGATCCACCCATTCATATATATATATATATTAATCTATATATATTCATCATATGAACATACCACATTAAATGAATATACATTTATTTTTCTATTCTTCTGGACATTAAGGTTGTTTCTAACTTTGTATTATTTGAATAAAGCCACCTTAAATGTGAATTTTTGGGGACTATGCACTCATTTCTTTTAGGTGTCTATACAGAAGTGGAATTGCTTGGTCATGGTGCTGCAGTAGTAGGTTATATTCAGTTTTAGTAGATACTGTCAAACATTTTTCAAAAGTCTTTGAAGCAATTCCACTTCCACCAGTAAGTATGAGAATTCCAGTTGCTCCAAATTGTTGCCAACACTTTATATTTTCAGCTTTTTTTTTTTTTTTAGCTATTCCTCTGGGTACTCTTTAAGAATTAAAATTAATTGGACTGCACATGATATTTATCGATCCTTATAATTTTAATTATCTCTCTAATTATATTTTGTGTTGTCCCCTTTGATAAACACAAAAGACCTCTTTTCTTCCAAATATTATCTAAAATTTCAAAGTAAAAATAACAACAAGTCACTTTTGAAAATGTTCTCAATTTACCCAGGCTTCGCATGATATACAGGTTTCCAGTGCAAAACTTTACTATCATACCACGACGGTTTCATAAGTGAGAGAACACGTAAGATTCTGATTCCAAAGTTATTATTATGATTATACATTTTCATTGTAGAACATGGCAGGTGAAAAATTCTGATTATGTGAGTTATTGGACTGATGAAGTCCTCTAAAAGTAACTGGAATTTCTAAGTAAGCATCAAGTACATTTATACAGTAACCATATGGCATAGTGCTTAAGAATATAGGCCAGGAATCCTATTACTCAGTTCTGATTCTGGTTCTGCTAGGATTTTGAATAAGAACATCCTCTCTGTTTCCTAATCTGAAAAATAGTACTGATAGCAATAACTAGCTGTGTGAGCAAAGGCAGGCTACTTGACCTCTCTGTGCTTCCATGTTCTTGGGTATAAAATGGGAATAAATAGTGTTATTGCGAATAACTAATTAGCTAACTAGTTAATACATAAGATGCTTTTTTTTTTTAAAGATTGTATTTATTTATTCATCAGAGACACACAGAGAGAGGCAGAGACACAAGCGGGCTCCATGCAGGGAGTCCCATGCGGGACTCAATCCCGTGACCCAGGGGTCACACCCTGGGCTGAAGGCTGGCGCTAAACGGCTGAGCCACCCGGGCTGTCCCATAAGGTGCTTTAAATAGTGCCTGGCACCTAAATGCTAGTTGAATATTAGGTATTTATTAATGTAGAGAGAAGTGAAGCTGGAGAGTTGCATGAAGACTGTGTAGTTCCAAACAGCGGTCAATGCATTTCTCCATCCCAGATGGATCCCCGTTTTTTTTTTTTGTTTGTTTGTTTGTTTGTTGTTTTTGTGGGTTTGTTTTGTTTTGTTTTTAGAAATTTATCGACCTATTTATATGTTATCGGAAAAGTCAGCGAAGTCAGCCTTAGGTCCCGGCTCTTACCTCTTACCTCTTAGTATGATCCACTTTAGGGAGCTGCCACATAGGTAAACACCGGCCAGCCTCCAGAACACCTGCCTGCACACCCTAAAACACGGAGTCGCCCCCTCCGGGTCGCTTTAGGGCTGAGAGGGATGCTCCCTCCGCTGCAGCCACGTCCCCGCTGCGCTCCCCGCTCCCCTGCCTCCTCCCCGACCCCGAAGTCTTTCCATCGCTTATTTCCATCGGTGAGAATCTCCCTGCCACCTGAAAGCGCGGGTCGAAGGTAAAGCTGGAGGAAAGTCAACTAGGGCCGGGGACACAGGATCCTGACACCCAAATGGGTTTGGGATGCTCCTAGGCAGCCCCCTCCCACCTCCCGCCTCTACCTTCCTAGCCTAGCGCCCTCTCCCCGCCCCGAGCCGGCCCCGAGCCCGCCCAAAGCCCCAGAGCACGCCGGGAATTGTAGTTTCCGGAGCCTCGCTCCAAGTCGGCGCGTGCGTCCTGCGCTCCCCCCGCCCCCTTCCAAACACTCCCGGATGAGGAAGTGGCCGCTGATGCCACGCGTTCTGCGGGCCGCGGGGCCGGGCTTCTGGGAGTTGTAGTCGCCGGGGGCGGACGCCGTCGGTAAGCAGACGTAGCTTTCCTTGGGGTCCGCTCCTGCAGTTGGTTCCGGGCGGGATCCGGGGGCTCGGTCGGTGCGTACTTGGGTCGGCCCCGCGCTCCCCCAGAGGCCGGGCGGGCGCCTTGGGTTCCCCGGCTTCCCCCTGCGTGGCGCTGGGTGCTCGTCGCCCCGAGCTCCATGCCTCTGCCCGGCCCGCTCCTCGGGCTGTCGGGTCCGTCCTCCACAACCGGGGCTCGGCGGGGACGGGCACTCGCCCTCCGGGTGACCCGGCCGCGACCTCCTGGATCGCGGCCCTTGCCCTCGGGCCCCCAGCCTCGCGCTCCCGCTCCCGCCACTCACCGCGTTCCTTTCTGCCCCCCTGCAGGGATGGAAGCCTCCTGGCGCCAGGTGGCCGGCGGCCGAGGCCGAGCCCGAGGACGGGCCACCGCGGCGGCCCCTTCTTCGGGGAATGGAATCCACCTCCGCGGCGCCGGAGGAGGGCGAGGCAAGGGGGCCGCGGGTCCTGGCCCCCGCCCGGGGGGAGCGGCGAGCCCGGCGGCGGCGGGGGGCTCGGCCCGGAGCGGCCCCGCGGGACCCGGAGCCCCGCAGACCCCCGCGGCGTGCGGTGAGCCCGGCCCCCGCCGCGCCTCCCCCTGCGCGGGCCGCCTCCGCGCCCCCTCCGCACCCCGCACCCCGCAGGCCAGGCGGCCCGCAGCCGCCCCTTGCACCTTGATTCCCTCCTTGACCACTGTCTTCTCTTCTTCTTCTTTTTTTCCGCCTGCTGAATCCCTAGGACCAGAAGTCGTGGCTGTGTTTTAGCAGAGCCTGAGCACACAGGCAGCTCTGGAATGTCCCTGCTAATAGAGGATTTGCATGAGGCTAAGGGAATACCCACCCCCACCCCAGAAATCATTTTATTTTTATGTTTGGAATTTATTTTTCAGTATATATATATATATATTTTTTTTTTCCCCCCAAGGGGAGGAGCAAGTTGAGCTTCTGAGTGCTTTTCCCCATAAGCCCATTTTAAAGTTAGATGGTGTTCTCTTAGTCTACAGCTGCTGAGTTTATTTTAATTACAGGGTAGTTGGCCTACAGTGTTTTTTTTTGTTTTTTTTTGTTTTGTTTTGTTTTAGTTTCAGGTGTGCGATAGAGTGATTCCACGCTATTGCACTGGGTTAGGATTGAGCCTGTAGTTTTGGGTTTGGTTCACGCAGTCCTTGAAATCTGAATCGGTTTGCCAGCGGGGTTTCTTTTCTCTCTCTCTCTCTCTCTCTCTTTCTCTTCCTTCCTTCCTTCCTTTCCTTCCTTCCCTCCTTCCTTTCCTTTCTTTTTTTGTTTTGTCTTTTTAAGATCTCATGAAAATCTGGTTAACTCTTTGTAAACTAGGATCCTGTGGCTTTAGCTTTGTGCATGGCAGTAGTCAGTTGCAGAAATCCCGTTTAGATTAGGTTTAGGGACTCCCATTTCACGTGGTCTCTCCTATCGGCAGGGTCGGTTGTCATTTTTCTACCCTTTGCAGGATTGCCTTGGGTTAGTGACTCTAATTGGCTCTGCCCTGTGTGAGCACTTGAGCTTATGCTTACTTCAAAGTAATATCACCTGAATATCATAATATATTTAGTGTTTGTACTTTTTTTCCCTGCCAGTTCAGAAACATTCTTATCTGAGTTCAAAAGGAAATTTATTTATTTATTTAAAAGATTGTATTCACTCATGAGAGATAGAGAGAGAGAGAGGCAGAGACACAGGCAGAGGGAGAAGCAGGCTCCATGCAGGGAGCCCGACGTGGGATTCGATCCCAGGACCTTGGGGTCACACCCTGGGCCAAGGGCAGGCGCTAAACCACCAAGCCACCCAGGCTTCCCCTATTCATAAATTTCATATCCTTTTTCGGATATGTCTGATGTGGCCTCCTCTGGCATGTCATTATCTTTCAACCAGGGCTGTGTTTTAGCAGAGCCTTAGAACACACAGGGAGCTCTGAATTGTCCATGCTAATAGAGGATTTGCATGAGGCTAAGGGAATAATCCCCCCCCAATTATTTTATTTTTATGTGTGGAATTTATTTTTCAGAATATATTTTTTTTCAAGAGGAGGAGAAGTTGAGCTTCTGAAGGCTTTTTCCCTAAACTCATTTTAAAGTTAGATGGTATTCTCTTAGTCTGGAGCTACTGAGTTTATTTTAATTCCAGGGTAGTTGGTATACAGTGTTTTTATTAGTTTCAGGTGTGCAATAGAGTGATTCCACGCTTTGCGCTCATCACAAGAGCACTCCTGAGTGCTCATCACGGATTTCACCCATCCCTCCCACCCACCCACCTCCCCTCAGGTAGCAGTTAGGAGTTTACAATGGTGGGAGTGGTGCAATGTGCAAGTTGGAGACTAAGAACAGTTTTAGTAAAGTTTCTTGGATATTGTAGGAAAAAGCAAGCATTCTCCTGGATATCCAATTGAGATTTGACTGTAAGACATAATATATAAAAAGTTCGCTTTTGTCACCTTTCCTTGAAGTGATCTTATGTGGATACGTTGATAGGGTTATGGACGTTTATATTATATCTTCTAATTCAGCCTTTAAAGAAATGCATCCTTAAGTGCCAGTTTTCCACAATTAGTGGCATTTATCATCTCATTGCAATCAAGTTTTGAGTCCTGTATCTTATAGTCATTACTTTTCTCCTAATACTTAAAAAGATTCCTGTATAGGTACTGTGTACGTTTTCTTTCAATTTTACTTGAAATAATGGCATAATACCCAGCTAGACTGGCTGCAACAACAAAAGGAAAACGTTTCACGAGAGAAATAAAAGATAAAACATCACGAAGTAGAGGCGCACCACCCAGACTAAGAAAGCTTATCTGGGTAGTGGCTCATTAGTTTCAAGCTCAAAGTGAATTTTCAATCAGTGATTTACAGTTTTAATTTGTGAATTTAGAATCCCCTCAATATGGGCACTAATAAATTCAGATCAATTCAGTTATGTTTGTGGCTCCTTTCTTAAAACTGTGGTTACCTCAGAACAATAAAAACCTTTGACTTCTGAAAAAACAAAAAACTGTGGTTGCTGTTTATAAGAGTTCGTTAATGGTACTTGAAGAAAACTCCCCTGGTCCTTGCCCCCTTAAGGACTTGCGAATATACTATGAAGTAATCTAAATCTTTTTGTGTTATTTAACCAAGTAACAAAATGAGAAGTACAGTCAGTGCTGAAGAGATTAGTGGAAGAACTAATCCAAAATTTAACATTTCTTTTTGGAATGAAACTGCTGTAAGAACCACATTTTCCTATCGCCAGCATTTTGTGTGGATTAATGTTAAATATATATGTTCTGTGGCCACATTTGAATAAAGGCAAAAAGTCCTTGAGCTTTCTAAGAGCAGATTATAAAGATAACAGGTATACGGTGAATATTGTTTGGGCCAAATCTTTGCTGGGCGGTAGCGTGGAGGAGGATTGTTTGAGAAAGCATCCAGTTTAACGGTTTCTGATGTGCTCCTAGGCGGCATGCATCTCCCCTCTTAAAAATCACTGTGCCTGGTTTACTTTTAAACATCCCATTTTAATTTTTATTAACATCCTTATTTTGAGGTTGATTAATGGTTTTTTGGATGCTTTTGTCATGTCTTTATAGTTTTTAAATTTGTTAATCAGTGCTTCTAGAACCAGTTGCGGCATTTAGCAGGATATCTAACAAAAATGAAAGTTTTCATTGTGGTACTATTGTGTTTAGTCGTGTGACGAGAAACTTGAAAATACTTCTTTTGTACATAGTAGTAAAATAGGATGCTCCAAGAATGACTTTTAAACCTATGCTCTTAGGGATCGTTTTGCAGAAACGAAGATAATTTTTTTGTTTGTTTTGTTTTAAGCAGAGCTAATGTCTCAAAGGAAATTTGAGGAAATCAAGAAGGCCAATCAAGCTGCAGCCAAAAAACTTGTTGAAGAACACTTTAGCTCTTCCTCTGAAGAAGAAGGAGATGAAGATTTTGAAGGAAAACGGGGGAAAATAGTTGCTAATACATTTACAAGTTACACTACTCAGACAGGTGCTGTGTACTTTTAACTTTTGACTTTTTAAAAAAGTTTTTATTTGAATTACAGTTGGTTAACACACAGTGTAATATTAGTTTCAGGTGTACGGTGTAGCGATTCAGCACTTCGTACAACACCTGGTGCTCATCACAAGGGCACTCCTTAATCCCCATCACCTGTTTAACCCATCTCCCTTTAGTAACCATCAATTCTCTATAGTTAAAGAGTCTGTTTCTTGGTTTACCATTCACTCTTTTTTCCCCTTGTTTTGTTTCTTCCACATGAGTGAAACCATATGGTATTTGTCTTTCTCTGACTGACATATTTTTTACTTAGCATTGTACTGTAGCTCTATCCATCTCGTTGCAAAAGGCAAGATTTCATTCTTTTTTATGGCTAAACAATATCCCATTGTGTATACATAACACATCTTTATCCATTTATCAGTCGATAGACATTTGGGCTGTTTCTATGATTTGGCTAGTAAACATTGGGGTGCATGTACCCCTTTGAGCCAATATTTTTGTATTCTTTGAGTAAATACCTCGTAGTGCAATGCTAGGTCATAGGTGGTTCTATTTTTAACACTTGGAGGAACCTCCATACTATTCTCCAGAGTGACTGCATCAGCTTGCGTTCCCACCAACAGTGCAAGAAGGTTCCCTTTTCTCCGTATCTTCACCAGCACCCGTTGTTTCTTATGTTGTTGATTTTAGCCATTCTGAGGTGTGAAGTGGTATCTTGTTGTAGTTTTGGTTTGCATTTTCCTAATGGTAAGTGATGGTGACCATCTTTCATGTGTCTGTTGGCCATCGGTAGGTCTTCTTTGGAAAAATGTCTATTTCTGTTTTCTGCCCGTTTTTTAATTGGATTATTCATTTTTTGTGTGTTGAGTTTTATAAATATCTTTATATATTTTGGATATTTGCATTTTATCACATATCTCATTTGCAAGTATCTTCTCACATTCTGAAGATTGCGTTTTCATTTTGTTGATTTTTTTTTTTTCCTTTGCTGTGCAGAAGCTTTTTTATTTTAATGAAGTTGCAGTAGTTTATGTTTACTTTTGCTTCTCTTGCCTCAGGAGACCTATCTAGTAAGAAATTGCTATGGCTGATGTCAAAGTTACTGCCTTTTTTTGCCTCTTAAGATTTCAGTGGTTTCTTGTCTTATATTTAGGCCTTTCATCTATTTTGAATTTTTTTTTTTTTAATTTATTTATGATAGTCACAGAGAGAGAGAGAGAGGCAGAGACACAGGCAGAGGGAGAAGCAGGCTCCATGCACCGGGAGCCCGACGTGGGATTCGATCCCGGGTCTCCAGGATCGCGCCCTGGGCCAAAGGCAGGCGCCAAACCGCTGCGCCACCCAGGGATCCCCCTTTCATCTATTTTGAATTCATTTTTTTGTATGGTGTGAGAAAGTGGTCCAGTTTTATTCTTTTGCATGTTGCCGTCCAGTTTTCCCAACACCATTTGTTGAAGACACTATCTTTTTCCCGTTGGTATTCTTTCCTGCTTTGTCAAAGATTCGTGGACCATATAGTTGTGGGTTCATTTCTGGGTTTTAGATTCTGTTCCCCTAATCTATGTGTCTGTTTTTGTGCTAGTACCATACTGTTTTGATCACTATATCCTTGTGTAAAATAACTTGAAGCCTGGAATTGGGGTTCCTCCAGCTTTGCTTTTCTTTTTTCAAGGTTGCCTTGGCTATTGGGGGTCTCTGGTTCCATACAAATTTTAGGATTGTTTGTTCTAACTGTGAAAAATGCTGGTGGTATTTTGATAGGGATTGCATTAAATGTGTAGACTGCTTTGGGTTATACAGGCATTTTAACAATTCTTTCAATTCATGAGCATGGAATATTTTTCCATTTCTTTGTGTCCTTTTCAATTTCTTTCATCGGTGTTTCATAGTTTTCAGAGTACACGGTCTTTCACCTCTTTGGTTAGGTTTTTTTCCTAGGTATCTGTGGTTTTGGTCTAATTGTAAGTGGGATTGATTTCTTGATTTCTCTTTCTGCTGCTTCATTATTGGTATACAGAAGTGCAAGAGATTTCTGTATATTGATTTTGTATCCTGGGACTTTACTAAATTTATGTATCAGTTCTAGAAATTTTGGGGTGGAGACTTTCAGATTTTCTCTATAGAGTATCATGTCATCTGCAAATAGTGACAGTTTGACTTCTTCCTTGCCAGTTTGGATGACTTTTATTTCTTTTTGTTGTCTGATTATTGTGGCTAGGACTTCCAATATTATGTTAAATAACAGTGGTGAGAACAGACATCCCCGTCTTATTCCTGAGCATAGAGGAAAAGGTCTCAATTTTCCCTGGTGAGGATATTAGTTTTGGGTTTTTCATGTGTGGCCTTTATTTTATGTTGAGGTATGTTCCCTCTTAACCTACTTTGTTGAGGGTTTTTGTCATGAATAGATGTTGTACTTTGTCAAATGCTTTTTCTGTGTCTATTGAGAGAATCTTTGGTTCTTGTCCTTTATTAATGTGGTGTATCACGTTGATTAATTTGTGAATATTGAACTGCCCTTGCTGCCCAGGAATTCATCCGATTTGGTCATGGTGACTGATTCTTTTAATTTACTCTTGGATTCAGTTTGCTAGTATTTTATTGAGAGTTTTTTTCATCCATGTTCATCAGGGATGTTGGCCTGTAGGTCTCTTTTTAGTGGAGTCTTTTATTTGGTTTTGGTATAAAGGCAATGCTGGCGTCATAGAATGAATTTGGAAGTTTTTCTTCCTTTTCTGTTTTTTTCATATAGTTTGAGAAGAATAGGTACTAACTCTTCTGTAAATGTTTGGTAAAATTTGCCTATGAAGCCATCTGACCCTGGACTTTTGTTTGTTGCGAGATTTCTTCTATTACTGATTTAATTTCTTTGCTGGTTATCTGTCCGAGTTTTCTATTTCTTCTTGTTTCAGTTTTGGTAGTTTATATGTTTCTAGGAATTTGTCCATTTCTTCCAGGTTGTTCAATTTGTTGGCATGTAATTTTTCATAATATTCTCTTATAATTGTTTGTATTTTATGTGGTGGTGTTTTTTTCTCCTCTCTCATTTGTGATTTTATTTATTTGAGTCTTTTTTCTTTTCTAAGTCTGGCTAGTTTATTAGTTTTATTAATTTCTTCAAAGAAGCAGCTCCTTGTTTCATTGATTTGTTCTATTTAAGTTTTCTATGTCATTTATTTTTGCTGCAATTCCTATTTTTTCCTTCCTTGTGCTGGCTGTAGGCTTTGTTTTTGTGGGTTTTCTTTTCCCCCTAGCTCCTTTAGGTGTAAGGTCAGTTTGTTTATTTGAGACTTTTCTTGCTTCTTGAGGTAGGCCCTGTATTGCTACATACTTCCCTCTTAGGATTGCTTTTGCTGCATCCCAAAGATTTTGAACTGTTGTGTTTTCATTTGTTTCTGTTTCTGTTTTTTTTTGTTTCTTTTTTTAATTCACTGATTTCCTGGTTGACTCATTCATCCTTTAGTAGGATGTTCTTTAACCTCCATGGATTTGTGGTCTTTCCAGATTTTTTTCTTGTAGTTGACCAGGTTTCTTATTATGGTCAGAAAACATGCGTGGTATGATCTCAATCCTTTTGTACTTGTCGCTTGATTTGTGTCCTAGTATGTGATCTGTTCTGGAGAGTGTTCTGTGTGCATCTGAAAAGAATGTGTATTCTGCTGTTTTAGGATGGAATGTTCTGAATATATCTGTCAAATCCATCTGTTCTAGTGTGTCATTCAAAGCCATTGTTTCCTTGTTGATTTTCTGTTAGATGATCTATTGATCTAGGTGTTAAAGTTCCCTACTATTACTGTGCTGTTATCAGTTAGTTCCTTTATGTTTGTTATTGTTTTACATATTTGGGTGCTCCCATATTAGGTGCATAAATATTTACAGTTGTTAGATCTTCTTGTTGGATTGTCCCATTTATTATGCTATAGTGCCTCTCTTTATGTCTTGGTACGGTCTTTGGTTTAAAGTCTAGTTTTTCCAAAGTTAGTATTGCTACTCTGGCTTCCTTCTGACGTCCATTTGCTTGATAAATGGTTCTCCATTACCTCACTTTCAATCTGTAGGTGTCTTGAAGTCTAAAATGAGTCTCTTATAGGCAACATATAGATAGGTCTTATTTTTCTTTCAAATCTAACATGCAATGTCTTTTGATTGGTACATTGGGCCCAATTTGCCCATTCAGAGCAATTGTTGATAGATATGTATCTAGTGCCCTTTTATTCTTTTGTCATTGCTTCTGGAGATTTTCTCTGATCCTTTCTTGTCTTTGTCACTTTTGGTCTCTCCTTTTCACTCTTTGACTCAGAGTCCCTTTTAATATTTCTTGCAGGGCAGGTTTCATGGTTCTGAACCACTTTAGGTTTTGTCTGGTAAACTCTTTATCTTTTCTTCTGTTCTGAATGAAAGCCTTGCTGGGTAGGGTATTCTTGGCTGCAGATTTTCCCATCCAGCACATTGAGTGTATCATGCCACTCCCTTCTGGCTCATTCCAAGTTTCAGTTAAGAGATCTGCAGCTAGCCTTATGGGTCTTCCCTTGTAAGTTAAAGACTTCTTTTGTTTTGCTGCTTTTAAGATTTTTTTCTTTATATTTTGCAAATTTAATTACAGTATATTGGTGTTGGCCTGCTTTTGTTGATTTGGATGGGAGTTCTCCATGCCTCCTGGATCTGGATACTGTTTCCTTCCCCACATTAGGGAAGGTTTCAGCTTTGATTTCCACAAATAAATTTTCTGCCCCCTTTTCTCTCTCTCCTTCTGGGACTCCTAGAATACAAATGTGAATACATCTGATGAGACTTAGGGACTGAATTCCCTAAGTCTTCTTGTGTTCCATAATTTTTCTTTGTTCAGCTTCATTATTTTCCATTACTTTATCTTCTATGTTATTTATTCCTTGCTCTGCTTCTTCTACCTTGTGTTCATTTCATCAAGCCTGTTTCCAGTCTCAGATACTGTACTTTTCATCTCTGACTGGTTCTTTTTTAACATTTAT